GCGCTTTGGGGTCCGGAGGGACTTGAAAAGTGCTCTATAAGTTCAGTACCATTTAGATAAAAGATAAGTAAAATAAATAAAACAATCTGCAAAATTAGCCTTAAATTTGAGGAGCCACAAACAAAGCTTTAAACAACACATTTTCTTCATTTGACGAATGTTTTGGCCTCAACAGGTTCAATGTACCCAGATCAACCAGGCCCAATAGATCCCAACATCTATCGAAGCGTGGGAAATGACAGCATCAAGGCTTTGACTGAGAAGCTGTCYTGGGAGGATGCCAAGAAAAAATGTGAATCTGAAAAAGCCAAACTGGCCAGCTTACGAAATGAGTGGACCAGCTCATATGTTGAGCTCCTGGCTAATCTCAAAGGTCCTCTGTGGATCGGACTGAACAAAAATAAGGTGAAGAATGGCAGCCATCTGAAACTCCTCCATAGCTGAAGAATTATTTAACTGCAACACACTGAATCTTATAAAGCTGTTAAAGTGAAYATAATCAACTTGTTCTAAGGAATGAATGATTAATAACAGAATGAATTAAYTATCGAATCAAAGTTGAAACATTTAAATTGCATAATTTAAATATTACTTATTCACTTAAATAACATCTGTTGTTGCTTTCAGACTGGAGGTTATTTCCGGTATGTTGATGGCTGGCACATGAACTCCGCCAACTGGGCTGAAAATGAGCCAAGCAGGAACAAACCATGTGTGTACATAGATGGGGACGGAAAATGGAAGACCGCTTACTGCAACGAGACTTTGAGCAGCGTTTGTATACAGTCGACAGGTACGACTGAAAAACAGAATGAGTTTCATTTGTTCTGTTAACATCAGATATATTGTTGATGCTTTTGCAACCATAATTAGAGCGTCCAAAGCGTAAAATGTGAAAGTGAAATGCATGGATTAGAAAATTTATTTACAGTGGAGCATAACTACTGCACAATAAAACCCACTTCTGTTTGCTCAATATTGCCAGCGACAGAACTGAATATCAGAGGAGAAATATTTTGTGATGAAATGTTTGTGCGTTTCACAGAGGTTCCTCCGACAGACTCCACCTCATTTCCTGGACGCTGCCCTGAAGATACYGATGTAGAGTACCAGGACAGCCACAGCTGGCTGCCTTTTCGGGGCTACTGTTATTTGTTTGTCACAGATGAAATTGAATGGGCAGATGCAGCTACCAGCTGCGTACGGCATGGTAAGATGCATTTTTAGTTCCAGTTTACACTGGCTGGATGGCCRTGTAATGTGAATGTTTCCACAAGGTATTATTTAATTGTTTCAAGCAGATTGTTTTATTTTGTTGTTGTGAAGGTGGAGTCCTTGCAAGTATTGAAGATCCTGATGAGCAAAGATTTATCAAAAGCAACATAGAAGTATTTCAAGACAGCCACTCCTCTTTCTGGATCGGCCTCTTTAAAACACACAAAGGTCTGAAAACAATCTTTATTAATGTAAAGTATTCATTAAAGCCACATTAAACAATCTTGATGTTAAAAATAAATATATTTTTTATGGTAATTTCTTTTATTAGGAACATGGTTGTGGTTAGATAAAACAGTCCTGGACTTCACTAACTGGGCTCCAGAAGAGCCAGATTCTGATTATGGAGCCGTTAGTAGCTTAGATGGAACTTGGAATTCGGGTCGCAGATGGCACGACAGATCATACATCTGCAAAACACCCAAAGGTAGGAAGCTTTATGTGTCATGTATGTGACCAAAAAAAATCTCTTGATATGGAAAAATATGCTAAATCAAAACTGCTTTTCAATACAAAAATAAAGGAAAGTTACGTTTCATTTAATTTTCATTTCATTTATTTTGAAATGAAAATTAGCTGCAACAAGTGCAGCTACTCGTCTTGGAGTCACTCAAACACGATGCTGACCAAAACAATTTCACCAGCCTTTGTTTTATTGTACTGTAACATTCTGTTACAGTACAATAAAAAATCTTTTAACTCTTTAATGTTTGCTTATTTTACTTTAAGGAAAAAAACATTTTTTTAAAAAACAGTTTTTCAAAATCTATCTGCAACAAGTTGCATTGCAGTTTTTCCAAGTAACTTTATTATTATTATTTTACCT